TGTGTATTCTTATGAATGCCACTTTTCCTTTTTAAACTTGTACTGTACGTACGTACGTACGTACCTATGTAACATAACCTTAATTTGCTTAAAGGTGAAAATATATATATTGCAAATTTAATAATGAAATGTGAAAACTGTCAAATTGATAAGCTTTCAGAGGAATTTCCACATGAGATAATTAGTTCCACATGTGAACACGTCACATCTTGGTGTTTAAGCATCCAGAAAATGTGTACTGGGTTGGGTTCGGATGATGGCCCGGGTGATGGTCCGGATGGTGGTCCGGAAATAATTATTTTTATCAAATTTTTTTTATTTTTTTGCTAGCGCTAAAATTTATTTTTCGATTAAATAATGATACTTCGAATTTTTTTATCGTATTTTTATTTTTTATTTTGTTAACGCTAAAATTTAATTGTCAATTAAATAAAGATTATATATAATTATAAAGCAATTTCGCAATTACAGTGCATATACAACGCACACAAATAATATAAATCAGAATTTCGAAATTTAGCTCTAATTTATGTTTAACCCTTAATTTGGTTTGTTTTCTGTGACATTTTTCGATAAATTATGTGATTTTTTTGTGGTTTTTCTTTTCTTACGTTCCTTCATTTCGGATGGATCGATATTTTCCTTTTGACCACGAGGTTTTCTTCTTTGAACTGATGTGGGTTGAACTTTAATTTTTGACCCACTTCGAAGATTCGACGATTGTGATGAGGATGTAGAGCTTTGTTGAAATAGAAAAGATGCCAACTTTCCTATTGACAGAGATTCAGCTTTTTCATATCCTTTTTTAAAATGTTCAATGCCAGCAAGAAGTTGGCTATTGTTTTTTATATCACCTTTAATGCGTTGAAGAAACTTCTTAACAGAAATTATATGCTCATTTACATCTTCATTGCTATACAGTAATTAAAATAAATTCTGAATTTACTACGAATTATAAAATGAACCAAAAAAATATACTACAAACCTAATTTCAATATCATCTTTAGATGGCTGAATATCGTTTAATTCAGTGTTTGACATACTTGTCATTTCATCATTTTGATTACTTCGACCACTGACTATTTCACTAACCCATTCATTGTTGGATGCCCGTAAAGATGCAAAAAATGGTGTATCTTCAACAATTGTGCCTGCAATTATATTAAAATTAATATTCTGCGCATAAATCTATAATACAAAAAACATTTACTAACCACACGCAATATAATTATATTTTGCACAATCATCAAGAGAAGAGCTGGAATGTAATTAAAAGACCCTGAATGATATTTTACCGTGACTGCAGCCTGATGCTTGCATGGAGCTCCACCGAGTGCAACAGAACATGTACATGTTCCTATAGAGGTGTCAACAATGTAAAATTTATCAGTACTTGCACTTGGTACAGTATAAAGGCCAGTTTGGCTATTATATTGAATTTTTTGTAAGTTAATTTGTTGCCATTCAGGACACAGGAATCACTTTGATAGCTCAAGGTGACCCGGGTGATGATTTGCAATAGCTATTAGTTGATGTTCATAAAAACGTTCCATGCTATTTGTAATGAAATGAAATATTTGTATGGCATTATATGCTGAGTTTGAGAAAAAATGATGTCTTTAATAAGCCCAAAGCTTCTTTCAATGTAGTTATTTGTATGATTTCCTCGTACTAATAAATTTTGATGATACGCTAGTACCCATGTAGTCCGTCATTCCCAAAGGTGCGAAATATGCGTTGCAAGTTGAAGATACTTGGTAAAATATTTTTCTTTTAAATTAAAAAATGAAAATTTCATTTCAGAAATAGTTGGTGCATATAAGACTTTTTTAAATAATTGCATAATAGGTGCATGATCATCCTTGTAAATTTTATGTTTTGAGTTATATAGATATCACCAAAGAGCCTGCAATACATGAAAAACACAAAGCAATCTTATACAATTTGGCCAGCAGAGTAAAAGAGCATTACGCTCTGCATATGAATCATCTGTCATGATAATTGCAGGGCCAAGTTGCGATCCACGTCCGTAAAATGAATTTTTTAGTAAAATTTCCTTAAGCAGATTGAGAGCATTTTCAATAGTAACTTCAGATTCATCTGAAGTTAGGAATATTGCTAATGACAATGCTCCAGCAGCACAATTGGTGTAAAGAAGTAATATTGATGTATTAAGCTTATCGAAAGAAGCTGATGTATCGAAATAACATAGTTCACCAGCCGGATAGATTTTTTCATGAACCTGCTTTATCAAATTTGTTACAATGCAGAGAATAAAAGGAGTTTGTTTTAAAGAATTATATACTTGAAGCATCGCCTTTCCATTACCAGAATTGTTATACAAAGTTACAACTTCTTATAATTGACTAAACATTCCCTCTCCATTTGAATCTCCTAAATGCACAAGATGAAATTTATTATAAAGGTATTTTATCAATCCCCCATCCAGATTTTTTGATCTGTCAGCTAATAGTCGTACTAGTTCATCACGATTTGATACTGATAAATGCAATTCATTCTCATAAATGTGCCGCGTAGTAGCTGCAGAATGTCCCACTTTAAATAAATCTATATATTTATTTTGAGCCTCAAGCCCAACTGGACGAAATCTTAATGAAGTAGCAGAATTAGGTAGATGGTTATGGGTAAAATGCAAATTAATCTCAAGTAAATTTGATTTTTTCAATCTAAGATTAAGTGTAGAAGTACATTTTGTGTTTCTATTATGCAAACTATGTGGATTTTTAGGTTCACGTTTACTATTTTTTTGCTTCACTAAGTCACTATGGATGCAATGCCTCATCTCTCTAAAAATAACTTTGGTCCCTTTAACTGGATAAGTCCTGGTTAGACGCATTGTCGTCTTTGATTTTTCTTGAAACTCGTTAATCCATTTCAAAGCATCTTTTTTAGTATCAATATTTGCTAACAAGTCAACGACAATCTGACCAATTGTTACATTTTCCGAAGTGATTTTAGGTTCTAATTCATCGTAACTCTCGATTTGGTATTTATAGTTCGGTGGAAGTATTTGCTGGAGTGGCATAGGTAGATCCAATATATCTGATAGTTTCTAAATTTAAGTAGGTTTAGTTTGTAAAATAGTGAAATGACAATT